AGCATTAAAACTATAAATTATAGCATGAATAAAATTTTTTTACAAACAAATAATTATTATTAATAGAATTCGCTAAATACCTAAAAGATCAAGTGTAATAACTTATAAAATTAGTCAATAATTTAAATAAGTCAATGATAATTTTTTTCTATTGGAAGTAAAAGGTTCTAAGTTCAAATTGTATAGCATGCGGGTATGACATGCAGGTAGAATGAATTAAGAGATTGAAAATGATTGCCTCTCATTGTGCAACCAAGATTTTTTTTTTTAAAAAAGAAAACTTATAAAATTACATTTTCATCGATCAAAAACATTTTAGTAGTTAGATACTTTTTGTTACATTTTAAACTAAAAACATCCCACAATTTACATATTCACACTTTAATCTTCCAATCTTCCTTACTGAGTGAAATTTGATCAAAAAATACATATTCCATATCTTTTGCAATTAATTTACCTCTATCTAACAAAGTATTAAAATTAGAGAAAAGATGAAACTTAATTAGGGAAAAATGAAATTGATGATTAAAATCAAATACATATTCATATTTAGAAAATGCAATCCAAGAAACTATACATTGTAATCAAATATTAGATTTAGAAAAATCTCCAAAATAAAACGACAATAAAAGAAAACTTTCTCACGTATAGCTAAAATCTTTTAAAAAATAAACATATGGAGTTTAAATAGTGGGCACCTAACTTTTCAAGATCTAAATTCCATTTGTTTTCTTTTCTGTTTTTGAATATTTAAATGGCATTGCCTCTTAATCTACCAAAATATGAACTGGTCTTAAATATTATGAATTAATATGCTGCAAAAAAAAAAAAAAAGAAAAAGAAAATGTTCTTACCTCTTTGTCTACCAAAGAATGAATCGATCTTTTTAATATTAATAATTAATCATTAACATTTTATTTATCTAAATTATCTTCAATTATAGTTGAAAAATTATTTAGCCTTGATTATATATAATTATATAATATGTTCTTACCTCTTTGTCTACCAAAGAATGAATCGATCTTTTTAATATTAATAATTAATCATTAACATTTTATTTATCTAAATTATCTTCAGTT